TCTCCTATAAACTTTGTAGCGTGTCCTGAGAGCCTGTGTGTCTACATCCAACACTCTCCTGCTGCTTCACACTTTACCTTTTATCTGAAAGGACTGCTTCCTCCTTCGGCTGCCATTTAACGGGTAAGAAAAAGGCTTTTAATCAATTAAATCAAGTTTAACAGCCCACGAACGGAATTATCACAGCTACTTGAGTAAAATCGTATCAAAATATTAGCTTTAATATTAAAATATTAAGATTTCCTAGACATCGCATGCAGTTTACATCAGAAAATAGCGAAAGAGAATGAAAAACATCAAACTTGAAGGATACAGAGGATGAGCCGTCTAGAAAGAACACCAAAAGCACATTTGCATCCTGCACTGAAATACCACTTTCATCAAATTTGTTTCCATGCAAATCAGCGAACTGAAAACAGTCGGTCAAAGTCAAACAATAATTTGATGAACTGTAACACGTTCACAGGAATATAAATGTGCTTTGATGCTTTATTTTTACCATACAACCAGTACAGAGGATCATTGTATAGTCTTTTGAAACTGAATTAAAGGCAAATCTAGTGGGCTTTTATTAAACTTCAATACAGCTGATCATAGATGCTAGTGTTTACTTTCCAGCGAAGCAGTTATAATTGTCACTGGATCACAGGACTGGAATGCAGGGCCTCTCCTAATAAACACTGGCTTTTGGAGCCTTTAAAATGAGATCAAGTTAATAAGTCTCTGCTTTTCCTGAGATAGTTTTATTTTTATCATCTAGCTGATGTCTGTTTATCCTGTCCACACGGAGCAACTTAAGTCAAGTGCCGTGCTCGAGGGGCTAATAGCGATACGGGGTCTCTTAAATCTACTGTAGTTCAACACTATATAGCACTATGATATACTGAAATTTCTCATCTAAAATGTATGAAGGTAGAATGACGTCAAAAAGATTTGCATACGCAGGGTAAGAGTTGTGGAAGTGTACATAAGACTGTAAGCGTAAATTAATTACAAAGCTTCTCTTGCGCATGCAAATTTAATTTACACTTACAGTCTTATGTACACTTCCACAACTCTTACCCTGCGTATGCAAATCTTTTTGACATCATTTTACCTTCATAAAATGCTCTTTTCCTGAGGCCAGATAAGCAAGATAGAGAGACAGATAAACAAAGACAGGCAGTCTAACTTCCTTGTCTCTTTAATGGTCAATTAACTTGGTTAACAGGAATGCTGTTCCTGGAAAATAATCAAAGAATGTCTTACTTGGAATTACTTGAACTTGTGTAGACATTTAGAGTGACTCAACTGACTGTACGTGAGCTTTTGGCAAAGTCTGGAAATACTGAGCACATATATCTGCAGACGGCCGATAAGAGAATAGCTTTAGCTGTTAGACAAGTGGCCGTCACTCACAAATGCGTGTCATTCACAGCTTTTAACACGAGTGCCCTAAAGAGGGTAAGAGTACGGCAGTCAGTACTGGCAGAACGTCGAGTGCCACTACAGAGTGTTCATGCTAATCACATCACTTTGGAAAATGGCAAATATGCCAGACAAATGCATGCTATGAATAAAAAGAATTAAATAACAATTGTAAGATTCCTATTGTTGTTGTTGTTGTTATTATTATTAAAGAATCCCTAATAAAGAAAACTCTGAATTTGCACAATATCTATTGAACATGGTATTTTCATGTAGTATTTTTAATTACTCTGCATATATTTGTTAATCAATTACATGAACTCCCGATATGTGAATTATGAAATCATAAAGGAAAAGTACGATTGAAGTATGAAAAAGTGTATGTATTTATTTATAAATAAATAAAATATATAATTTAATAAATAAATATACTAATAAATAAACAAATAAATATAAACATTAAGCTTTTTATACACACACACACACACACAAATAATTATATATAGTACATTTATATAGTCCAATAAGTAGATTTTTAACATATATAATTTAAAAATATCATAATTTGTATAAAAATAACAAATATAAAAAATACTATTTTTCTCTTTCCATATATTTTGTAATAAATATATAACTATTGTAAGAAAAAGTGAAGACGTCGAAGATCTTGATGAAGAATAACTTTTATTTCAGAATAGTAGTGACAAAGTACATGTAGTACCTGATAATTTGTCACTAGCTATAAGTGACAAATTATCGCTCCGGAGGTACTATTTACATATGATTAAGATCGGAAAGAACTATCTATATGATAATTAAGCTCTTTGTAGAGAAAGGAGCATAGTTAATACACAATTTGGAGTGGAAGCTGGGTCGAGGCAGACTATAATTTCTTACACTATCTAAAGTACACTTATAAATATAGTCCAATAAATAACGTTAATAAAATATATTATATAATTTAAAACATCATCCCCTGGCTTCACAGACAAGGCTTAAACCTAGTCCCAGACTAAAATGTAAGTCTGAGCTGATTCAACTGAAAGAAACTTGCACTGACTGATCTTAAAATATATCAATGCCTGTTTTCTCTCAAGATGCACACCAGTAATGTTTTTTTTTCAAAGGCACATTTATAAAACTTACTTAAGTGTCCTAATTGAACTATGGCCTAATCCTGGCTTAGTCTAAACCCTGTCTGTGTAACCAGGCCTATAATTTGTATAAATAAATAGATAAATATAAACAACACGATTTTCTTTTCCCAAAATTATATATGTTATTATGGCTTATAGGAGAAAACAGCTTAATGTTTATATATGATAAATTATGTACTTATAGGCCTGGTTTCACAGACAGGGCTTAGACTAAACCAGGATTAGGCCATAATTCAATTAGGACATTTAAGTAATTTTTATGAACGTACTTAGGAAAAAACATTACTGGTGTGCATCTTGAGACAAAACAAAGGCACTGATATATTTTAAGATCAGTCAGTGCAAGTTTCTTTCAGTTGAAACAGCTCAGACTTACATTTTAGCCTAGGATTAGGCTTAAGCCTTGTCTGTGAAACCGGGGGTTAGAGTGTTACACATCTCTCTATAGCAAACAGAAAATAGTAGTAAATATTTTTGTGGTACTTGATGCATCACTTTCATCAGGTATTTTAATTTTATGTTGTCATAAATAAACACATCACAAAAATAAGGACAGTAATATAGAATTATGGGCAAGAATGCATACATCACAACCTGAAAGCTTAAAAAATGCAGCCCACTGTAGTGGGCAGCATACATCAGAGGTTTAAATAAAGATTGAGCCACTCACATCAGAATCAGAACAGATTTACTATAAATAAATCCAAGTGTGATCACCTCTTATATTTTTATTTCCAAGACATCTTAAAATAGAATAATTTCTCTCATTTTCACCATAAGGCACCACAAGAACGCAAGAGCACCACCATCTCCATCCGTCCATTCCTCTCACTGCCACTAGTCTGCAGTCTTGATCAGGATGGAGAGGGTGCAGCACATGGCACGCTCAGCCATCCGGAGGGCGTCCAACATCGAAGTGAACCCGCAGACCAAACGCAACCTACAAGATCTCATCATCAACTTCTCCCTCATCCTCATCTGCCTGCTGCTCATCTACATCATCGTCTTGCTCATGTGACAGCAAAAGATGACAACCGGCCAATTGCAAGATGCGCTGTACAAGACCTTGGACAATTTTTGGGAATTAAAAATGTCCTACTGATGATGCAACACGTGTTCATTTCCTGAAATGATTCGAGGGTGGCACTGATTTTTCTTCATTTACGTTTGTTGCATTATTCTTACAACAATAAGCATATTTTTGACCTTTGGATGAGTACAAATCTCATTTTGTTCATATATGTTTTGTATTGGGATATATAGGCCTATAAAACATACAAAATTGTATGTTATGTAAATTCAGATATGTTTTGTCATATGAAGCGGTCATATGAACTGGTGTAGTTCACAAAAACACAAAGAATGAACATCAAAATGCCTGTAATTTCTGGCAAAAGTAGCTCCCAACAGCAAACAGCAATTCCTTTAAGTGCCAAGACATTTATGTAAATATCCCCCCCAAAAGAATCTCGTAATTGTTGTGTTGAAATGCAAAATTTATAGGTCAGTCCCAGAAATCCTATATTATTCACAAGAGGAACAGAGCATGTTGGCACTGAGGTAAATTACGCTTGTACACTTAACATATACTGTAAATGTCTGTTTACACTTCCTGTGAACATGATCTGAGAAAGAGAGAGCTAAAATGGGTACTTTAAGGATGTTTTTAAATGTGGACAACCAATAAAGAGAACGTTTGTTTTAAATGATCCAACTGACTGAATTTTTCAAACAAAAGTAGCGAGAAATAAACCATGTGTAGATCCTGTTCAAGTCACTGACGCGGAAAATCATAAAAAGCACCGTAAAAAGTACTTAAAGTGCTTTTAAAGGGATAGTTCAGCTACAAATAAAACTACTAAATAAAAAAGCCTTATTAACTCTCCCTCGTTCCAAACCTATATGCATTTTTGAATAAAGTACACATGCAAATGTAAAGAATCTATTTGTTTCATAGTTTATACGAAGTTGTAAATAAAACAATGATTATTGGGGAACATTTCTTTGTAATTATTTGTCAAATTTACTAGCAATTTCTGAGTGAAAATTGTTTCTACACCAACTTTTTTTTTTCAGACTAGTTCTGTTCCTATGACTTTAGAAGACTTCAAATATCATGCAATATAATGCAAATATAATGCATTTTGCCCATTTTGACAGCTTGTTATTAGTATAAACATTTGTGGTACGACAACAAGTATTTTCATATTTTTTAAAACAGTTTTTGTTTTTATCTGCAAAATAACAGATGGTTTGGACTGACATGAGGGTGAGTAAATAATGACAGCATATTTGGGTAAACGATTATTTTAAAAGACATGCAGTCCTTTGACAATGCTTATAAAGTATAGACTTAAGATTTCAATGTTTTATTTATTATATTGATGGTTTATAGTTTGTAAGAAGACAATATAATTCAAATATATAAGTGTCTGTGCAATTTATTTCAAAACTGGCAAGACATTAGTATTCCAACAGTTTTAGTCCATCCAGAAAAGACACATTTATGAATATTATATGAAATTAATGTGCATCTCATTTTAAATCAAGTAAATGCCCATATCAAAAGGGAAAATAACAAACTCACAGTGAGATATCAAGAACAGACAAATGGGCTATTGAAAACTGCAGTTTCGCATGCTCTTCAGTTGAGTGTCTTGAAAAATTTAAAAGGAGAAGTACTGTGAAAATAGCTCTTGTGGTTGCTGTTCTTTTGATGCTACAGTTGAATCCTCAGTCTTACGAGGGCTGCACAAAACACAGAGAAGTCAAACACAACCAGTTACACTGCAGCAACATTAAAGGAAAGAGAATATGCACATCCTAATCAAACAGTTCCACATTGAGTTGCTACTTTATTGCATGATGATACTATCCAAAAAATGAACAGTGGCTGCGAAAAATTTCAGACGAATACAATCGGAGTTACATTAAATAATGTCCAGGAAGGAAAACCAGTGTCCTCTTGTCTTATATCGAAATCCTCAGACATTTTTCTTTACAAATCCTCATTTTGTACTACTAATTCGTGACTGGTGTTTTGTTTCGCTCTCTCCTCTGCACTTCCACGTTTGTCACTTCCGCGTTCGTCACCGCTTTTGCCTACGTACTACGTCATCCACTGGACGCCACTCTCTCGTGAACGCACGTACGACAGTTAGCGAAAGCTAGAGATTAAGGTTTATAAAGTTGTAAATATGGTTATTTTTCTTACACAAACGCATTGCTTCGCTTCAGAAGGCCTTTATTAACACCCTGGAGCCGTGTGGACTTCTTTTATAATGGATGTGTGCAATTTTTTCGACTTCAAATTTTGGTTTACCATCCACTCCCATTATAAAGCATGGATTAGCCTGGACATTATTTAATATAACTCCGATTGTATACGTCTGAAAGAAGAATGCCATATACACCTAGGATGGCTTGAGGGTGAGTAAATCATGGGGTAA